TTCCTCCCAGCACCATCTCCATGGGGGGAGGGGACTCCTCCCAGCACCATCTCCACAGGGGGGGGGGGAGAAACGACGACAACACCGGGAAGGCAGAGGCACAGCAGGGCACCGGATGTGAGCCAGGAATCAGCTGTCCCAGCTCATGGCCAGTCCCCTGCTGCACCTCTGCCTTTTAAATGTATTAAGAGCTAGGAGGCTGATACTACATTTAAACGGCAGAGCCATAGCAGGGTTAGCTCATGGGGCTGGGAGCTAACCCCGCTGTGGCTCTGCAATTTCTAACTTCTTGATTAGCCAATTAAATGAAATTTAATAACCCTAGAAGAGATTAGTTCTGAGCGAAGAAATGACTTAAAGAAAGGCAAACAAACAGGAACATTGTCCACAAAAGAAAACAGGTGGAAAGAGAACATTTCCTGATTGTGAGAACATAGCCCTCAATCACTTTATTACAACAACCAGGCAGATACAGCTTCCAGTACAATTTATGCAAAGCATGATCACCTTAAAAGACTTGGTATCTCTCTTGGGTCAAAAACTTATTTGAGTATAACCTCCTGTAAACCAGACTTTGTCTGTAGGTTTCTTTAAGTGATAGGACAGTTTGTTAATGCACATTGAACTACAAGTATCTCCTATTTTTGTGGCCTTTACATTTTGTTGGAAAAATCTTACGAGGCTTGTAGTGGCAATTAGTTTGGAACAGTAATCCAGAACAAATCAACAATGTGTTGTGTCCTATTCCCCATGATTCTCCCACACATGCATCCTACGATAAATTGTGTTGTTTTCCTCCTCCATTCAGCGTAGGGCTCACAGGATCTCTAGTTCCTACCATTTGACAGAGTTTTGTTTATGTGATTGTTCAGCATTTACATAACAATCGTACAATTCTTTCAGGTGCAACAATAATTCCTCCAGATTGTCTCCTGTCAATGCAGACAGTGGAATGACTCTCTGCTCCACTTGCTCCTTAAGGAGTAGCAAGTTAGCCTTCGACTGAGGAAGATCAATCTTATTCCCAATGACAACATGAGGTCTCTTCGACAAGCCTTCTTCATACTGGTCCAATTCATATTTTAAGTCTTGGAGCTGAATCCATGGCTCAGACACAGACAAATCCACCACAAATAAGAGAAAGCGGCAGTGTTCTATATGCCTCAGAAAGGTCAATCCAAGGCCCCTGTTTAGATGAGCTCCTCTTATTATACCAGGCACATCAGCAACTATAAATGAGAGAGAAATGAAAGTGAACACGTTTAACCTAGAGAGGTTTTATTTGTCTCTTTGTTGATCTAGATATTTGTATAGCTCCCTTTCAATGCAGACTCTAAAAAGGTATATTGTATGAGTTTGTCTGTCTCCTGCACAATCAAGTAATTTAACCAGAGACTCTGAATTCAGCTCACAAGTCTGAAGTTAAGAGTACATGCATGAAATACAAGGTTTAAAATTTATATCACATTTACGTCAGGATTGTAGGTCCCTACAATTAGTCAAGCTCCTAAAGAGTCATTTTTACAGTTTTACTGTTTGAAGTAGGGACAGAAAGGGAGACAATACAATTTCTCACAACTAAAAACAGAAATTATATTAAACTCTCGTAACACATACCTGATACTTGCTCATAGTCTTGGTAGTTAACAATGCCTACGTGTGGATTTAAAGTGGTGAAAGGGTAGGGAGCCACTGCAGGCTTTGCATTGGAGATTGCTCGCAAAAGTGATGACTTCCCAGCATTGGGGAATCCTACCTGGAACACAAATATTCAACAAGGCCATAATTCCAGATTAACCAAAATAAAAAGAATAACTGCTTACAAATATATATCAATGGTTCTTTAGTAGCTGCCATAACCCAGAGGGCTATATAGCCTTTTGCACACAAATGCGTCAGTTTTGCATGCTCATGTCCAAAGGGATCTGGGTGCACATTTGTTTTTAATTATTCATTAACATATATGAACATTCCATACAAGAATGAACTCTTACTCATAACCTTGCTTGTTAAAGACCCATCTCTGATTTGTCAACAACTTGTCAGCTATTTATTCAACTTCCAACAGAAGTGACCTTATATTATGAAATCTACTGGACTCTGACATGGAGGATGGCATATCTATCTGACTAGGGAGGTTAGATATCGATTAATTCAATAATCATGTAACCACACAAAATCTTAGCGATGACATGATTATTGGATAGTCCATAGGGGCGGGGCAAGCAGCCTGGTCTTGTCAGTTAATTGTTTACTCGACTGTACACTAACATCCCTATACCTGACATTAATCATCTCATTTGGACTGTAAGAAAGCTTACCCGCAGATCATATTATGGTTCTCCCCGGAGCTTCCCATGGACAAGGATTGCTCCAGCATTCCATGGAGTAGCCTCTGTCTGTAGGAAGCCTGGGCTTGCCGCAGAAGCTGCTCTGGCATTCCACAGTGAAGCCTCTGTCCACACAGATAGAGGCTGGTCCCTGGTAGCAGCCTCTGCCCATGAGGGGAGGACGGGGGGAGGGAGGCTCCCTGTGGACAAGGCTGCGCTGGCATCCCACCTCCCCCCCTGGCGCTGGCTCTGAGACAGC